GAAAGAGTTTACAGCAGAGACAGTTTACACCAGACAGCGTTTACACCAGACACCGTATACACCAGACACGGTTTACACCAGACGCCGTTTACACCAGACAAAGCCAACAAAGGTTTACACCAGAAAAAGTTTACACCATAGACAGTTTACACCAGACAGCGTTTACACCAGACACCGTTTACACCAGACATGGTTTACACCAGACATGGTGGAAACCATTGCAGCAGCAATTATAAGGCGATTAGCAACAAAAGATTGCAAAACACCACGTAACTACGCACTGAACGATGACACAGGAACACCTTCGAGCCAGAACTATAAGGCGAATAGCAACCAAAGCGTGTAAAACACCATGTAACTACGCACCGAACGATGACACAGGAACACCTTCGAGCCAGAACTATAAGGCGATTAGCAACCAAAGATTGCAAAACAACATGTAACTGCGCACCGCAAGCACAGAGAATAGCCTCCCAAAACCGGATCTCGACGTCCAAGCTCCAAAAATTGCGATTTCGAAGCGTTTTTTAAAAGAGATTTATAAGAAAAATGAAAGCGGCAAAACTTGGAAAAAAGTACGTTGGAAACCATTGCAGTAGCAATTATAAGGCGATTAGCAACCAAAGCTTGCAAAACACCACGTAACTGCGCACCAAACGATGACACAGGAACACCTTCGAGCCAGAACTATAAGGCGATTAGCAACCAAAGCTTGCAAAACACAATGTAACTACGCTCCGAGCGATGACACAGGAACACCTTCGAGCCAGAATTACAATGGGGGAACGCTCCGGGCACAGACCATGGAATCGCATTTCCCAACGAGTATGAAGTCCGCAGCGCACATTCGCGACATCCTTGCGACCAGAATTACAATGGGGGAACGATCCGGGCACAGACCGGGCACAGACCTTGGAATCGCATTTCCCAATGAGTATGCGGTCCGGACCGCACATTGGCGACATCCTTGTGACCAGAATTATAATGGTGCGCCCAGCCGCGCTCAGACAAAATGTACGTTTCACTACACGTTCGTGCACTCGACACGCATGATCTCCGCAGAGGGTTGCTCGAGGGCAAACCTTGAAACCAGAGTTACAATGGGGAAGCGCAAAATCGACAAAACCTTGTCACCAGAATTATAATGGCGGAACGCACCGCGCACACCAAAAATGTACGTTTCACCACACGTTCGCGCGATCGACACGCACGATCTCCGCAGAGGGTTGCTCACGGACAAACGCGATTCGCGTCTCACCACACGCGCGCGCGATCGATGGCCACGATTCCACGAGAGGGTTGCGTTTCGTAAGACCTGCTCGCACCGCCCCGCCGCCTAAAGAGAAGAATAAAGAAGAAGTTGGGTAGGTGAAGTTGGGTAGGTGTCTTAAGGAAGATGTCTACACCTACCTATCTTCACCTACCTATCTTCACCTACCTATCTACACCTACCTACCTACACCTACCTGTCTATACCCACTTATCAATACCTACCTATCAATATCTACTTCTGATGTACTTTGATATTGTTGATCTGATACTTCTACTTCATATGTTATGTTGTGATGTGATATTATTTTATCACATGATATGAGATGATATGATCTGACATTGATGTGATGTGATATGATATTAAAACATGATATGATATGATATGTTATGACATTGATGTGATGTGATATGATATTATAACCTGATATGATATAATATGATATGATATGAGATTAATAACCTATGAGGTGATGATTAGATGATGATGTTGTGAGGGTGGAAGATGAAGTAAGAGAAAGAGAGTAAGGAAGAGAGAGTGGGGAAGATGAAGTAAGAGAAAGAGATTAAGGAAGATGAAATAGGCAGCAGTGCTTAAGGAAAAACCCTTCGCAGGTGCTTTCGGGAAAAACCGTGCTGCAGATTGGCACCTCATGAGGTTCACCATCCCCAGCCACGATGTTCCCCGGTTTGATCCCCTGAGGAGTCGCATGAAGCAGGCGCAGACCAAAGGACAACATGCGACTGAAAGCAAATCCACAAACGCCAAAACTGGGCTGCGACCCGAGGGAAAGGCTGTTTGTTGTTCAGAGCACCATTTGAGCACCATCGTCTGGCATGAAAGCCAAGAGTTTGCGGAGCCTGATCCAACTAGAGTGAACTCGCTGACCGCACATGCCAACACCAAATACAAACGCTTCCAAAAGTTGGAACGAGCCTGGATGCCTTCGGTTCAGTAGGGCCATGATTGCGTCGCCCAAAGGTAAACTGAGCCAAGTGCCCCCCAACAAAACCTCAAGACCCTGGAGTTTGTCGGCATGAAAAACTCTGTCAGCGTCTCAAACTTTGGCACCCAAAGGAGGGAGGCTACAAGTCTAGAAGTCAGTTTGCCAATGAGGCCGTCTTGGGGCAACAAGTGTTTGGAACTTGAACTGGCGCGCCACTTCATGATGTGTGGTCTGTGACTGGACCATGCCGTTGCCGCGCGTAGACGACTATACTCTATGACTTTTGACAGTTGAACCATTCACAACAATTCTGGCTCTTTCTTGGCATGCTTCTGGACAGGGAAACGATGCAGAGCACTCCAAACAAAGCAGGTCCAGCTCGAAACAAGCAGGCCCAGGCTGATGGCTGAAGAAGAAACTGGGTGCGCAAACTGGTGCGCAATGTTTGTGGAAGAGCCTGGCTGACACATCACTGAACAAGCACGAAAGCTTGAGGAGTCTGGAAGACATGTCAGCTCTCCTGCATCACAATGGTCTTCCGAACCAAAGCAATGAGAGATGCAACCACGACACGGGGACATGCAGACTTTGCAAATGCTGCAGTGAGAGGCGACGATCGCCACAGAGAGGAGGTTGCCAATCAATGAGTGTGATTAACTAGAAGGACAAGTGAGATTCCTGAGCCATGAGAAATAAATGGGTCTAAAGAGAATAACTATGACTTATGACTAGAGGGCGACTGTGACTATGACTTTGACCAAGTCCAGAATTGTGAAGAAGCTTCACCTCCACAGAATCTGCTTCTGACCCCACAATGCTCCGAATATTATGAGCGTGAGTGCTCCTAAGCCTTGTCTGTAGTTGGCCATGACTTGTTGCCCAATTGCGTCGTATGCTAAGTCCTAAGATCATCAGAGTCCATGCAGGACAACCTTTTCCAGATCCACACATGTGGATTCCATGAGCGCTGCAAGACCCTTCAGTATGCAGTTCTGGGTGCCCCCCTGTTGGGGGGGGCAGTAGGAGTGGTTCCTTTAGCTTGACTCATGTTTTGTTCTGCAGAACACTCAGACTCTGAGGCCCGAGAGATCGAAGGTAAAACAAACATGCAAAATCGCGAGTGCGAGGATCAATGGAGAATTTGGTAGACAAACACACAGGGCACCTACGAATGCTTTCAAAGCCTAATTCGATACAGTTCTTATGGGTGTCAGCATAGAGCTCTAAACTAGCATTAGCAAGAAGAAACCAAGCACGAACAGCAGAGGAAGGCTTGAAAGAACCACAAAGCCCACTAACTCTACCAAAAATGAAGTCCGTCAACGTGTTAGCATGCTTGAAACGAAGTGCTGTGCTTCTGATTCCCTCAAGGAGGGTCAGTCGCTTGAAGCGGGAGCTGAATTGGCAAGCGTACTTGTGTAAATTGCGATTGACCTGGAGGACAGGAAACCAACTACCAAAGTCGAGCAACATTACCGTCCAAGTGACTTTTGGGCCCATTGGATCAGAACTGAAAAACTGACAACTTTGCAGGTCAGCATAAAGTTGATCAGGGACTGAGCGTACTCCAATGAGTATCCCCTTTTGACCTTTTGTTTTTGCGCAACTGATGCGCTGTAGGCCCCGACAAGTCATTGGGAAAGGGGACTGGCGCCGCGAAAGTTTGCACAATCTTTAGCTTGATTTCTTCCTTCATGTTCTTTAGTTCACCCGTTCACCCTCAGAACCTAGCCCTCTAATTTCATGACAGCTTCCAAACCGGCTTTGCCAAAAGGCGCAAATGAGAGGTCGGTGCTACTTTTGGATTCACTGTTTAGTAGCAAAACCTGTTATTCGTTGTTGCAGATAATTGGATGTTGACAATAACAGACGCACAAAGGACAACATGCATGTATTGTCGCATCTTTGTGTGCAAGGTGAAACGGATGATCATGTAATGATCAGTTCTCGCAGGTTCTGCCTGTACATGTCTGTCAACTATGGCTCTTTCTGGTCATTCTGGAAGTAGTTTGAAAGACTCGGATGTTGGTGAACATCCGAGTCTTAGCTCAATGGGATTCTCGTCCTGCTAGGTGAAAAGAAACGAAGGAAACGTGGTCATTGGACAACACCAACAACAAAACACGCAATCTGAAATAGGCACAACAATCAAGTGGGTTTGTACTCCAACTGGGAAATGAGATAATTATCTGAGATCATCATACATTGGTGGGGAAGAAATGTCAAGGGGGTGTCAAAGAGCCAGCTGTCCGCGGTGAACCAAACAACCTCGTCAGACTGTCCTTTAGACCTTCAGATCTCTTTTGGGAGGTCGAAGCCAAACTAGCACGACCTCCGCGTCAGTGGCACAAGCCCCATCTTAGGCAGTGCAGATCGAAGCCAAACATGCGTGACGAGTTTCGAGTCCGGTAGTAGCACAAGAACTCTTTTTGGGGCGGTGCAGCAAGAAAAAATGCACCCTGAGCTCATCAGCTCGCTCCTTCCTCTCCACAGCTTACCTCCCAGTGCTTTGCTTCTTGCTTGCATCGAGCGACGCACCACGAAGCGCACGGGCGTTCCAGTGGTTCTGGAGACCTGACGCGCGAAGAGCTTCGAGACCAAGGCGGAAGGCTTCGTGGCGGCGCTCAAGAGGGCCACGCCGCGGCTCACCTGAGGATCAACACCGAGCCGGGCCGGCATGAGGATCGAAACATCGTGGAACCATGGGCAGGCGTCGGTTTAGTGAAGGAGGACCCGAATCGAAACATGGATCCTGTTCTTCTTCGACTTCGGCCCTGGTGCTTTCATCCCGTTTTCATCCAAGGGGGTTCTCTTTAAAACTTTAAAGGAGCCTGAGTTTTAAAATCGGTTCAGCTTGTTGCAACCTCTCAAAAAGGGAAGGAAAACTAGCAAATCAGGACCCCCCCGCAACGGGATCCACCAAGGGGCTCATACCAGTTGATAGTGTGTAGGGGAAAGGTTCAAATTTGTGATACAGAAACCCAAGAAACGGGTATTAAATAATCAGAATAATACCGCAATTATAGTAATAGTATGTAATAGATTGTAATAGTGTATGAACATTGATATGAAAGTGTTGTTGTCTTTTTACCTTGCACTGCCAAACATGGGCCGTGCAAAAACCAAACGATGCTCGCATCCTGTTATATGATGTTAATTCATAACCACATTGTAGTGAAGCAAAGTGAAGGCCTTTGGTGAATGGGGTGTGTCTCCGATAGGGGAAATCATCAATGAGCTGGTGTTCATCGATGCCTTCTGCGGACCTAGGGGCAACAGACGAACATCGCTCTGCTATCGGCAACGAGGAAACTCCGGCTGCTGTCGACGGGCATGGGCGGCACGACAGAGATGTGGTGTGAGGAGTTGCACAGGAGTTGGTCAATGCAGAGTAGTTCCAGGCGAGGGAGATCTCAGATTTTTGAGCTCCCAGTTTGGAAAGGCTAAGGGAAAAAGGACAACTTGCAGAACCTGTGAGGTTCATTCTTGCGTTCTTTTTGTCTTGGCTTCCGCTATTGCCGCCTGCATAAACACTCGCCCCACCTTTCCGGTTTACAAAGATGACAAATCCCCCCAACTCTTTCAAATGGGTGCTGCATCCAATCAAAGGTGCGACAAGAGGTTCGTATGTGCCCCCCAAAATGCGATGTCATTTGTATACTATAATCATTCTTTGGAAGTATAAGTTACAGTTACTCTTGTTTCATATTACAGTAGGTGTTTTTCCAGTCTGCATCACCAGCATATCATGATCTTCTTCCCACAAGTATCCACAAGTGACAAGTGGTTTCGGCTTGACCTTTCTACGGAGACTTGAAGCCTGTGATCCATCCCATCGAGAAATTTGCGGCCTCACAGTAGAAGCGGAAAGGCCGCTGGTCTTTGGGCTCCTGAAAATCAGGTGAATTGAACTGTCTGGAATGCGTTTATGGAGATGACCTCATCCACTTCTTTGAAGTTCAGTTCAAATCTCGCCAAACAGTGCAACCTACTCCCCTCCCTCCATCTCCAAGACTGAACTTTCTTTCGTCCCCGGCCTTCAACGCTGCCAATTCCTCCTCCAGCGCTTTTCCCACCGACAGCTCCGGGACCTCAGCCGGAGCTGTGGAGCTCAAGCTGTGGAGCTCGTCGAGGCGCTCGAGGAGGCGGATGGCTTCACCTGTGCGAGGAGGTGCTCGAGGCGCACGGAAGGGACTACAAGACCACAACACACACACAACACCTACATACTACTATAGACATGTTGGGGAATTGATATGTTATATTCAGAAAGCTATATACATGTACAACCAAGCGAGACTCTTGGAGGCGCTTTCTTTGGACTTTGGAACACTCTAGCCCTTAAAATAGATCGGGTCCAGGAATTGTTACCAACCAGATCCTTTTTTCTCATGGCGCCCAGGTGGGTCCGTGTTGAACTTGCCAAATTGACCCACGCGGTTGACCGGTCGGTGACGTCCAAAGACGCGTCGCGTGAAAACGGAAAGACCCCGGTGTGAGGAAAGAAAGGTCTTATGAGGTATTGTTGGTGGAAAAGACGTCACATTCAAAGGTACTATGAGGTATTATGTGGAAAGATGTTTTGTGAATGTACTGCGCGTGCGAAGGACGTCATGACTGCTTCTTTGGAAAAAGATGCCGTGCTTTGTGAAAGAATGTGAAAGAGGTAAGTTTTTCGGAGAGCAGATCCTCTGCGAGGTATTGACCAGCTGGGAAGTCGGTGTTTCACTACCTGCGATGTCCGAGGCGCATGGACGAATTCAAGAGCCCTAGCCCAAAAAGAACTCCCCCCACGCCCGGCTTGGAAGCTCTTTCCTTTCAAAAAGGTGAAAACCATAAAAATCCACTCCGAGCATCTCCGAAGCATTTTGCAGGTCCCGAACCTTCTGAGCAAATAACTCCAGAAGCTGCTGACAAGGCGCGAGTCGCCTTTTGACATTGGCTTGGGGTGTGGCTGGTGACCAGCACTGCAGACTGGGGCATAGGTCCCAGAGGTCCTTGGCACTCGCATAAACAAATAATACAACAAGCTTCTAAGTTTCAAGAGAGTTCTGTTGGTCGAGTCTATTCGTGTTGGGGTCGGTCTTTGGCTGATGCACCACTTTACTTTGCAACTTTGGCTAGATCCAGAGGTCGTTTCTGATTCTTCCCTTGATGTTTCCAATTGGTTCATGTGCAACGAGTGGTGATCAATCTCTCATAGATCTAAAATCTACCAATGTGAAAAGAATAGATACGCCCACATGTCTCCATTCAGGGCAACGATGCGTAAAGAAACAAGACTCCAAATGAAAAGCAAGCAGAGCAGGTAGATTTCAGACACTGTGATATTCTTCAGTTGGTGGCACCAACAGTTTCTGACAGTGAGATTGTTTGGGCGCAATGTTGACCATTTTGTTGAACCATGTTGAACCATTTAAGTATGTCCCATTGTTGCAGATTGAATGATGTGGACACCACAAGGATGAAAGTCATCTGGCAAAGTCTCTCTGTTGCTCCGTCAGTTTGGGGGGGAAGGTGCCACTGAGTTTCAGAAGTTCAAGCAGTCGGCACTAACGAAAGAACCATGTCAAACCACGATCGAACGTTCGGCTGTCTCACGACTGATTTTCACCTATGGCCGACCCCAATCAGGTTTAAAACGAAGTCATGGATGGTCTAACATCCATTTCGCAAGGCTCAACAACAGCTTGGCCTCCCAGTCAGTCTTCAGTCTTCCGTCTTTCGTCGTCTGAGGGTGATGGAAAAGAACCTTGCAAATGTATTGTTCACGATTGTGATTAGAATATATACACATATTAGTTTTGTAACGTTTTAATAGTTTCTATATGCTTGGCCTATGCACTTCTGCCACAATCTTGCATGATGGACGAAGAAATTCGATGGACGGTGCAGCTGGGCATCGCTTTGCTTTACTTTTTTCTGAGGAGTCCTTGTTCCGGGCCTTCTTCTTCCCCTCAGAACATCTGAGCCGCTAACGGGAGATCCCAGGCCAGGCTGTTTATTTGCAATGCGGCCGCACGAAACATCTACCTTCAGAGAGTGCAATATGCCGGCTGGCTGTCCAATACCATCACTTTGATTCGTTTCTCAATGTGCGGTGCAAAGTAAAGCTCGCACCTTGAGGAGTTTCCAGAACTAAACGGCACTTTTCTACATGTTAGTAACTAGGAAAACATGTTTTGTCGGTACAAATGATTAGACCTTCCTGGGTGGAACATGGCGTGGCATGCACTAACAAAACCAACCACGGCATCTCAACTTCCCTTGACCAACAAAATGAGCTCTGTCGGACTGGTGTCGACCCACTTGTATTCCCTAGTAGCTACTTGCTCCTAGTAGTAATGCCCTTGTGACTAGTAGCGATGCCCCTATTTCTAGTGGTTTCTTGCTACTAGTAGCTATGTGCTCCTAGTAGTAATGCCCTTGTTCCTAGTAGCGATGTCCTTGTTCCTAGTTCCCCAGATAGCCACAGGCTACAGGGCCTTTAACTTATCAATGGTGTGGCTCTGGATCGGCGTTTTGGTTTTGCGGGTGCTGCTGCCGTGCTCATGCGGGCGCGGGTGCAGGTGCTGGCTGTGGATTGGCATTTTGGCTTTGCAGGTGCTGCTGCCGTGCTGAAGCAGGTGCAGGCGCAGGTGCTGGCTCGGATCGGCGTTTTGGTTTTGCGGGTGCTGCTGCCAAGCTGATGCTGGTGCAGGTGCTGGTTCTGGATCGGCGTTTTGGCTTTGCGGTGCTGCGGCCTAGCTGATGCTGGTGCGGGCGCAGGTGCTGGCTGTGGATCAGGGTTTTGTTTTACGGGCGCTGCTGCCGTGTTGGTGCTGGCGCTGGCTTTGGGTCGGCGTCTCCTTTTGCGGGCGCTGCTGCGGTGCTGGTGCTGGTGCTGGATCGGCGTTTCGAGTTGCGAGCGATGCTGCCGCGCTGGTGCTGGTGCTGGCGCTGGATCGGCGCTTCGTTTTGCAGGTGCTGCTGCGGTGCCAGCGCTGGCTCTGGATCCGCGTTTCGTTTTGCGGGTGCTGCTGCCGTGCTGGTGCTGGCGCTGGCTGGATTGGGGTTTTGTTTTGCCCGGGCTGGTGCCATGCTGGTGCTGGTGCATGTCATGCAGGGACGACATCATGTCAAGCCAAGAATGACATCATGTCATGCCAGGGGTGACATGATGAAATGCCATGGATGACTTCATGTCATGCCAAGGATGACATCATGTCATAGCAGGGATGACATCATTTCATGCCAGGGACGGCAACCTGTCATGCCAGGGATGACATCGACGACATGTCACGCCAGGGAGGGCATCATGTCATGCCAGGGATGACATCATGCCATGCCACGGATGACATCATGTCATGCAGAGATGACATCATGTCATGCCCGGGGTGACATCATGTCATGCCACGGATGACATCATGCTGTCATATTGTGCATGACAACGTGTTGCGCAGCAATGGTCATGATGTCGTCTAGGCAGCTTTGGTTGGGCCTTGCCGATCTTGCAGTTTTATGTCTGTGTTGGGCAACGCGGGCGCATTCAGTTGATAGATGTTGCGCATGACTGGTCTGATGTTGCATTCTACGGTGCCAGCCGTCCGTGGCGTGTCCTTTAAACCTATACACTCGCTATCTGGGGTCTATGCCGGTGTAATACTAGTAGCTATTTGCTCCTGTAGTAATGCCCGTGTTACTAGTAGCGATGACCTTGTTCCTAGCAGCTTCTAGTAGCTATTTGCTCCTAGTAGTAATGCCCTTGTTACTAGTAGCGATGCACTTGTTCCTAGTAGCTTCTTGTTACTAGTAGTATTGCCAGGAGCTACTAGCGTTCCCGCCCCCCTTCGGCGATCTTTGGGTTCGATTTGGATCCCCTTCCATGTCAACATGGGCAGGAAGCAGTCCATGCGTTCAATGCAATCGCAAGACCCCAGGCTTCGTGTTCCTCTTCTAGGCAGACTTAGATCTGTAAGTTGCTCGGTCAAATACAATATATAGTGGAAAAGCTCTTGTTCCTATTCAAGAAATGCGCCTATTATACAAGATTCTGAAGTTCAACATGTGCAAGAGCCCGCTTGCCTTGCCACCTCCTTTGCTTTTGCCTCTTCCATGCCACTTCCGCTTGCCCATGGCACGAAAAGGCGCACACAGCGCACACTGAGGGTTCTGAAGGGGGGCGCCTAGATTAATATCAAACGCGATGAGACTGGTCGTGGAGAAGCAGCACAGTCCAGCCCGCATGCAAACTTTGAAGCGCAGAATCCGCGCAGAATCCACTGTCTCTCGGAGACCCAACCCGAAACTGTCTCAAACTCTCTATTTGTGGCGAGAACTGTTTCTTCGAAGTCAAGGGTCCAGGTGTGACGTAAAGATTGAGTTCTTCTCATTCAAGAAGGGCTACATTTGTAAGAATGATTGACGAAGAGAGGGCCAGATGCGCCAAGATCATTCCCATGAAAGTTGGTGTTTTTACTTGAATAGCCTTCTTTGAGCCAAAAGCCAACAACACTTGACTGCACGTGTCGCTTGTTCCACATGTGTCCCTTGTTGCTCAAGCTCTTTT